AAAAACTTATTGTTAAATTTATTTTTTCATACCTAAAAATGTCAAAGTATTGTAGGGATAAATAATCTAATTCATAAAATTATTATTGAAATCTGTGGTCTATTAATTCTTGTACAGATGCGACATTTTTTGAATCAAATTTTTTTTTAATATTTTCTTGGAAATCTCGAAGTATACCTAAATGATTACATTTTCCCTAGATAGTTATAGCATATTGAAGATGAGATTGTACAAACGCACAATATACAGATGTTTACAACTAAATACTAATGCAACGTTATGTGCGGACAATAATTTTTTTAGTTTGAATACTCCAACTAAGTTCTCCATCAATTATACATCCTAGATATTTATAAATACCTACCGGAGATATCGAAGTACAATTACAATTTTTATTATTTTAACAAAAATATTCATGAATTATTAACTTATTTTTTTTTCAACTCTTGCGGAGAAATCTATACACTGCGTTTTGGAAGTATTTAAGGATAATTATTTTTCTATTAGCCAATTCCAAACTTTAGAGAGATGATTATTAGCTTTTTCATACAATTCTTCTGAACTATCTCCATCGACTATAAGAGCTGTATCATCTGCGAATAGTACTAAATTTCCACTTATTTTAATGTTTGTTAAACTATGGACATAAATAATAAATGACAATGGACCCAGACATGTTCCTTGTTTGACACCAGAATGAATAAATTTATTTCAGATTTTGTTTTACCAATTTTTGTACAACATGTTCGGTTCACTGAATATGATTTAAACAAATTTTCAGCTATTCCCCTTATTCATATGTTTTCTAATTTTTAGTAGTAAAATTTTATGATCAACAGTATCGAATGCTCTTTTTTAGATAAAGGAAAACAACAAGCTTGTTTTCTTTATCAGTTTCAACATATGAAAGTAATTTAGAAATAGCGTTCCCCTTGCTTTTTTTCTCTCGAAAACCAAATCAGAAATCAAGTAATAATCTGTTTTTATTTAAAAAATTTACCACTATTGTATAAATACATTTTTCAAAAATGTTACGGCTGTAGAAATAGTCGTCCTGTGGTAGTACCGAGGGGGATTTCGGCTTTAGACATACGCCACAGGCGAGGGGTGAAGTATATCAATAGGCATCAACCAGCCGTCTCCGCGGCGACCGCACCCTCGTTCGCATTGTGTGACCGGCTCGGATATACTCGTTGTTCGTCGTCCCCTCTTCGGGTCGGAAATCAGTAGTCATGCGACGCGTAAAATTCCAGTCTTTCCGCCTCGGTAGGTAGTCGTCGATGCTCAGTTTACCGCCAGAACGCCACCACGTTAGTACTTCCGCGCTGTCGGACGGTTCTCTTCTTTGTTCTTTGTCTCGCACAACCACACCCGTCTGGCCGTCGAGACGGCCGCCGTTCGGCGTCGCCGACGCAATCACAAATGATGGAGCATAAATTTACAGGTTCGTTTTGTAGTGTATTCATTTGAAATAATAATATTTTTTTAAACGTTAACATTATTATAGAGCTGGAATGCGAGCGACTCTGACAGTCCAAACTCACTATTTATTTTCATTCCATTGCGAACATTCAACTATGGGTGACAACATGGTTTCAAAACTATATTGAGTTCCCAATTCAAATATATTTCAAACAATATTATTGCTTACGTGGGTTTCATTTGATCGTCGATGATGAAGTAATTACTGTCCGGAGGGCATTTTTACTTTTTCGGTAAGTATTAATATTATTAAGTGTTTAACCTTCAGCGGCGGATCATTTTTACTTTTTCGGTAAGTATTAATATTATTAAGTGTTTAACCTTCAGCGGCGGATCCAGGAGATTTTACGACCCCTCCCCCCTACCCGCCACAATATAATTTTCATCAGAAATGTATGCTCGTGTGTATTTTAAAAAAACTCCCCTTCCCCCTTTATTTTGTCCTTGATCTGCTATCTATACGCTAGTGATGGCCGTCGGGCACCGCCGAATGAAAACTATCGGACTAGTCGATAGTTTACAACTATCGAATTATTCGATACCACTAGCGGTTTATCGAACTGTTAGCTGAAATTTATAGTATCCTCCCCTCTAATAAAAGCACAGTATAATAATAATATTTCTATCGAATAAAAACTATCGATTAATTCGATAGTACAATAAATACTATCGAATGAAGTCGATAGTTAAAACTATTTAGTTGTGCCCATCGCTACCATACTCCTAAAAAAAAAAAAATCTTAATATTTATTATGTATACCTACCTACGTACATAATATTAATATGATTTTAATTTACAGGGCAATCATACAGCTGAAATTGTCAAGTACCTGCCTACTGATTGAATGACCGTCCCAATTCCATTGCTGCAGCTGATCTCGTCATTGCTGCAAACAGACTAAATATTTAAGGGGAGCTAATGTCCCCATAATATTAATTATATTATATATCTATTTAGTGTTTACTTGATTTGGAGAGGGTTATTTGTTTCTATTGATTGGGTGTTTCAAAAAAAGTAATTTTGTACCATCTTATTAGTATCATGTTAAGTATTTCAGATTTGATTATTAGGTAGTGTGCAGGTTCTTTATTGAAATTGGCCACTAAAATTTTTTTTAAATAGTTTCTCCGAACTGTAGTCACGTGTGCATAACATAGACCATAGGAACTGTTTTAAGAATCATTTTTGTTTTGTATACCTTATATATTTATGTGTAGTCCATAGTATTGTGTTTGCAAAGGGATGAGAATAAATCGTGAGTATGTATTGTCAAAGCCAAAAGCATTCGGCTATTTAATAATATTTCCACATTTGCCTCTATAGAGTGTAATAAGAATATACATCCATAAGAATCTATGCTCTGGTAAAAAATCAAAAGAATCTCTTAAATTTTGAAATCTTTAATACTGTAAAAAAACTGCAATTTTATCTGTATATTATTTTTTTTTCCAAAATACATTATTCTTTTTATAACAAATTGTCCATTGGTAATTTATAGACAGATGATATTGTATGTGTCAATGTCATTATTCATTTAGCCGGTATTTTTTCATACCTAATACGTGCTTTGTTCAATGTAAAATCTATTTAATATGTTATTACTTATCAACATGTAATAAATAAATAATATTGAAACTAATGTTTAATTAAGAATATTCTTTGTTTAATTAAAAACAATAAATTACTAATAATTTGCATTGAAAAATCAAGACATTATTTATTTCTTATTATTTCAATAAAAATTGTATAATCTATATATTATTGTAGTATAGACAATTGGCGTGCTTATAGTTTTACAGCCTAAAGGGTTGAAAATATTTAAACAAACTAGTTTTTCTAGAACTGTTACATAGATTATGATTTGGTTGTTTTTGAATGACTTTTACAAATTAGTGGCTTTAAAGGTCGTGTATTACCCATGACCCAGGTGTACTAAATGATACTGAAGTAATTTTATAAGCCTCAAAATAAATAATCTATAAATATTTATGAATCGGCTTGAATCTAATCTAATTATCAGGACTATGATTTGTATGCAATAAAACATTGTAAAATATGCATTTAAATTTTTATAAGATAAACACAAAAATATAGTTACTATAAAAATATTTATTTTTTGAAATACATTAGTGATTGGCTGATTGTCTTAATATAATATAATTGAAAAATTTATAAAATATAAAAATAGTGGAAGTAAACTAGATCCAAATAATTATCGTAAATTTCTCTAATATCAAATATAGCAAACATTTTTGAAAAATGTATTTATACAATAGTGGTAAATTTTTTAAATAAAAACAGATTATTACTTGATTTCTGATTTGGTTTTCGAGAGAAAAAAAGCAAGGGGAACGCTATTTCTAAATTACTTTCATATGTTGAAACTGATAAAGAAAACAAGCTTGTTGTTTTCCTTTATCTAAAAAAGAGCATTCGATACTGTTGATCATAAAATTTTACTACTAAAAATTAGAAAACATATGAATAAGGGGAATAGCTGAAAATTTGTTTAAATCATATTCAGTGAACCGAACATGTTGTACAAAAATTGGTAAAACAAAATCTGAAATAAATTTATTCATTCTGGTGTCAAACAAGGAACATGTCTGGGTCCATTGTCATTTATTATTTATGTCCATAGTTTAACAAACATTAAAATAAGTGGAAATTTAGTACTATTCGCAGATGATACAGCTCTTATAGTCGATGGAGATAGTTCAGAAGAATTGTATGAAAAAGCTAATAATCATCTCTCTAAAGTTTGGAATTGGCTAATAGAAAAATAATTATCCTTAAATACTTCCAAAACGCAGTGTATAGATTTCTCCGCAAGAGTTGAAAAAAAAATAAGTTAATAATTCATGAATATTTTTGTTAAAATAATAAAAATTGTAATTGTACTTCGATATCTCCGGTAGGTATTTATAAATATCTAGGATGTATAATTGATGGAGAACTTAGTTGGAGTATTCAAACTAAAAAAATTATTGTCCGCACATAACGTTGCATTAGTATTTAGTTGTAAACATCTGTATATTGTGCGTTTGTACAATCTCATCTTCAATATGCTATAACTATCTAGGGAAAATGTAATCATTTAGGTATACTTCGAGATTTCCAAGAAAATATTAAAAAAAAATTTGATTCAAAAAATGTCGCATCTGTACAAGAATTAATAGACCACAGATTTCAATAATAATTTTATGAATTAGATTATTTATCCCTACAATACTTTGACATTTTTAGGTATGTAAAAATAAATTTAACAATAGGTTTTTTATCACAATTTTAACAATAATTTTTTATCACCAGTTAAACAAAAATGATTGCACTTTTTTTTCTGAATCTTTTAAATATCAAACTGTACCAGAATCATTTAACAAAACGATTTAAAAAACTATGTTAGTTAATAAAAAAAAAAAAAAGTATTAAATTTTAATTTTGATACCGCGACCTTATACTTGAAAATAAATAGCATTACCAAAAATGTACATTATTGAATATTGACCAACCGCTCATAATTAGTTTTGAAAAGCAATCTCATAAATTAAGTCGGCTTAAATAAAAACCCGTTCGATGTTACCACTGTTATAAGTAATTTAATGTATACCTGAAAGCAACGATTAACCCTTGCTAACTAAAAAACGATTCTGAGCGGAGTTATGTTGATAGTGATGCTTTGTCAAAAATGTATATGACATATTAGAGTAAAATAATTAAATAGGTATGATGTATTAATGTTTAATGTTGAACCGATTTTCTCGGTTTTTCACATTTGCTGGGAAAACTTTTGGGAAAATCGAAAAATGACTAATATCGACGTTTGATATCTTCATGAGGCGTTCTGTATACTGAATACCGTATAGGTAGGTACTAGATTTACATGTCTCAGCTGGTTTTTCGTTACGAATTAAGAATGTCTCGATAAATGTCCAGAGATAAATTGTCAAACAAAAATAACAAATTTTTATGAGAATATTTTAGAGGGAACACAATTATTAATTAATATCTTAACTAATCTATTTTAAATAGATGATATTCTATTGAATATTTTTATTTTTCAAATATTGGGAAACAATGTATGAGTTACAATTTAGGTTACTACTATTAGAAAAAAAAAAAACAATTTATAAATCAGTAATCATTAATCGTAAGTACCTTCATTTATTTATCAATATGCATTGCTTATCAGTGTGATACTATTGTTTACCAAGTCTGTAGATAACTAACCAAGATATGTGCGTTATGATAACGCCTAACCTAGAAAATTCGGTAAATAAATTGTTTACATTGTTTATAGTGAACGGCAACAAATCGTCACTTGCGGTAGAGTTACAATTTAGGTTACTACTATTAGAAAAAAAAAAAAACAATTTATAAATCAGTAATCATTAATCGTAAGTAAGTACCTTCATTTATTTATCAATATGCATTGCTTATTAGTGTGATACCATTCTTTACCAAGTCTGTAGATAACTAACCAAGATATGTGCGTTATGATAACGGCTAATCTAGAAAATTCGGTAAATAATTGTAAACATGATTATAGTGAACGACAACAAATTGTCACTTGTGGTACGTACGTGATTTTCGTTTAGACTGTCTACTACACTCCTAAAAACCATTAATATTTGCGATTTAGTTTGTAATTTTCGTCCATTTGTATTTCGTTTGCGTTGCCAAGCTTTTTGTATAAATGGAAACTACGCGTAAGTATCTATAGTTCTTTTGATAATTTATTTGCTGGACACCTAATTCGAAATAATTTTTATTTTATAAAATAAACATAGGTACCAATATATTTATTTTACTTTGAACTCAGTACTGTATCATGTGCATGTTCGAATAATATATTGATTAGTCATTCTATACTAGCCATAAATTTAAGTTTTTAAAACGTTTTGTAAGCTTGTAGTATAGTTTTGTAGGAGATGGAGCCCGGTAGATTTACTGTACCTAGATAATTCTCACTAAATGATCAAATTATAAATATTGTATATAATAATGTTTAAAATGCGTTTAAATAGGTTTGAATAACATCAATGATAATTCCAACTTTGTGCTGTTGATTTTAAATATAATTTTTTCAATGCAAATTCTTTTTAGATTCTGTGCAAAGCGAGGAATATTTTTTTTTGAAATTTAAATGATTGCTGAAAATAATATTTTTTTTTGATCTATAGAATCAATATTAACATTTTGCCAAATAATAAAACCATTAATATCGTCAATTTTCACTTTTTTTTTTTTTAAAATTTTAATCTTTT